GGAAATTGTATTAGCCTAGGTGGAGCCTGATCTGAGTTTCCAAATAATTTTTTGTGTGGTATGTATCTGTCTAAAGAACTAATACTACCATGGATTACTACCATGGAATACTACCATGGAATACTACCAGGCCTGTTGTGGGTTTGCTTCCAGATCACTGCCATAAAGTGAATGTTGCAATAAACTCAAACGAATGTTTTGTTTTCCCAGTGCATATGAAAGTCATGTCTACACTAGACTATAGTCTATTAAGAGCACAATAGTATTGTGTCTAAAAAAACAATGCATACACCTTAATCAAAAAATATTTTATTGCTAAAATATGCTAACCATCATCTGACCTTTCAGCGAGTCATAATCATTCATCACAGAATCACCATAACAGATATAATAATGGAAAAGTTTGAAATATTGTGAGCGTTATCAAGATGTGACATGCGACACGGAGACATGCAGTGAGCAGATGTTGTTGGAAAAATGGGCTAATAGAGTTACTCAGTGCAGGGTTGCCACAAACCTTCAATTTGTGAAAAGAGAAATGCATCATCTCTCAAACACAATAAATACAATAAAATCAAGTATGCCTATGCTAAACCTGGATAAGACAGGAAGTCAGCTTGAGGCCATATCTCTGAGTTTGTGAGAAAAATGAGATTGACTTTCAGAAGTCATAGCTGACTTGCAGAGAACGGACTGTAATGAGACTGAGTTTAAGAGTTCTTTAAGAGCATAACCCATCACATCCTCTGGCCGACACAGGAATGTCAGTATAAGGAAAAACGCTATTGGAAGAAGTAGGGGTCTGCATCTGAACTAAGAAGCCCAGTCAGTTCCTGGGTGGGAAATTAGAAGTTCTGGTCACCAATTCCAGTGTGTGTGTTTGTGCGTGAGAAGCAGTTCGTCAACATGAGCTGGGTATCCTACAGTTAAACTCAACTCTGACATTATCTACCTATCAGATAATGTCAGATTCCCCAGGATAAGGAGTCAGTCCTAATAAGACTGCCCCCATGTCCACCTTAAAGTTAAAACAGCTAGTTATGTCACCAACAGAATGGGTTTATTTGAGAACTGCAGAAGAATTGCAGTTTGGAACAGGTAAGCTATGGCAAACCATAGGCACATCCAAAGATCAAAGGAGAGGAATGTTACTTTATGGAGAAAAGGAGGAAATTGGGAAGGCCTATTTTAGACAAAAGTCCCTTGAAGGAAAACAAGAGTTCAGAGTATGACAGTTCTCATTGGCTGAGTTGTGGTGTTTTGTTATTGGCTGAGCTTGTTGCTGGGCAAGGAGAAATTCTTCCTTCTCCCTGCTGGAGAAGTAAAGTAGGCTTTTTCCTATTTAGAATGTACGGTAAGTTCTCTGCCTGCTGGAGTCTGCACTTGATGACAAGGGCTAAGGCATGAGAGCTCCCCCTTCTGGTCTCTGAAACCCATTTCAACTGAGATTTCCTTTATTCAGTTTCACAAGGGCCAGTGGCAAGTCCAGGTTGTCACCTGTGCTTCTGACCACCGGGTTATGGAAATCCCCATGACGCCCTCCTCAGGTTTGATTAATTTTCTAGAGCAGCTCACAGAAGTCAGAGAAACATTTTACTTACCAGATGGCCAAGTTTATTATAAAAGGATATAACTCAAGAACAGCCAGATGGAAGAGATGCATAGGATAAGGCAGAGGGAAGGACGACAGGCTTCCATGCCCTCTCCAGGCATGCTGGTCTCCCAAATCTCCACACATTCATCAACCTGGAAGTCTCTGAACTCTGTCCTTCTGGGTTTTTATGGAGACGTCATTATATAGGCATATTGACTCAACCTCCTGCCCCTCTTCCTTTGCTGGAGGTCAGGGGGCATGGGGCTCAAAGTTTTAACCCTTGAATCACATGGTTGTTTCCTCTGGTGACCAGCTTTAGGTGCTTTCCAAAAGTGAGCTTATTAACATAATGAAATACACCTGTATAGTTTTCATCACTTAGGAAATTCCAGGGCTTTTAGGAGCTCTGGGCCAGAAATAGGACAAAGAACAAGTACATGTTTGTTACTGTAAATCACAATATCACAAGAATGGTAGAACATCTCCCATGACAGCTGAAGCTCTCACTAAACCTAGTTCTTTTCTTTAAAAAACAAAAAGTAATCAAAAAAGTTATGCAATAAGCTATAGCCATTAAGAAAACATGTCCAGTAATAGGAAAGGTGAGGCAGGATTAGAAGGTCACCGAGTCCCAAGAGACGGAGAGAGTCTGAGGGTTGTCCTTGCCTTTGTTCCTTTGGAGCCATGCAATTCATGCCAAGAGACAGACATGACTCTCCTGAGGCAAAAAAGCCTGGCTAGAGATGTGCGGTTTGGAATCAGACCACTTTTACATGCACTTTCCAAACAAAGATCACATCCTGTGCTGTTTTCTCAAGGTCATTTAACACAGAACACTACCATTGCCAGGATTTAAATGTCTTTGTTGAGGCGACAGGAACACAAAACAAGTGCAGCAGTCTCATGGGAGAAACAAATATCGACTCCCAGCGGAAGAAGTTGAGAATATTCACTCAAGAGTTGAAACTGGAAGAGTTGAAGCTGGCACCCAGAATCGGGATTACCTCTGTGATGACAGTAGGCAGGGGCATTATGCTTTCTATATGTAAAATTCTACACACACATGTGCACACAGATGCACACACATATAGGTAGTACGTGTATTATTTAAATAGTTCAAACACGAACTTGGGTCCAGATATTACAATGCACAGGCTAAGCGTGGTCAGCTGGAAGTCCATACACAGGAGGTAAGTACTGAAAGTGCTTCTGCTTCTTGTTTTTCAAGTAAATCTTTGCAAAGCAACATTGCCAAAAATGGAATATTATTGGTGAAATAGGCATGTTGATGAGGACGATGATTTTTGTAAATGGCCTCTCAGAGAAATAAAAAGTAGTTAAAGTTCATGGACTGGCTGAATCTAGTTTAAGAGATACTGCCCACCTCCTCACAAAGAGGTTTTAGGAAACTATTGAGGTTGGTGACAATTATAATGTTTGCAGATTCCAGTCTCTGTGATGGTTTTGGACCTGTCTAGAGTCATCTTTTCATGCAAGGAGATAGTCAAAGCATCTAAAGCCAGAGTAATCTGGACTTCACGGAGCCCACAGAATAGGTATGAAGACAGTATCAACTGTTTGGTGCCTGCCTGAAAATCAATGTTCGATTGGTCATCGTCTGTGTATGTGGCAGAATTTTTTCTAAGACTTACTATATCCTGGCAGAAAAGTTTATAGAAAAGCAGCTACCCTTACCCACCTCCACCCTTTGGGTTTGACGTGGATTAAATGTTGAATAGGGCCCACTTGCAGGTTGTAATAAAAGCAGGCTTCAGATAAAATTCTAGTATAAACCCGTTTATCCATTATCAAGTGTCCATAAGGCAGTTCATGCATCTTGGGAGTGGCACCTGACAATTACATTTTTTGACAAGTATCCCAGATGATCCTGAAGCACACAGGGGTGTTAAGACCACTGCCATAAACTGTGCATCCATTTGCACTAATGCTTGCCATAGCTGCCTCTCATCTGAGTTTTGGGAGCTGGAAGAGCCCAAGAAAACAGCGCTGGAAGGACACCCAGGGCAGGTAACATTGGAGGCTGAGTGGATGTGCATTGTGCATGCTCTTCAGCTTTGTTTATTTTATAGAACATAAGAATTATCTGTGGAGATTATTTTTAAATGCAGAGGCACAGAATCTAATCCAGCCCTCGTAAATCTGTATGCTTGCTGGGGGAGTCTTGCGTATTTTGCAAAAGCTCTGTGGCTAACTGTAATGTACAGCCATGTTTGTGAATCACTGATACTGAGCTAGCCAAAAGCTGCTTTCTATTTCTCCAATCCAAGTTCCGAGTTTCCAAGAACAGAAAAACACTATACTTTTCTGTACCCATAGTTGTTATTAATTAGCACCGTGAACCCAGACATATCACTTACCTTATCAGAGCTTTGGTTTTCTCATAAGGCACCCTAAACACAAGCAAATAGAGATATCCTGGTGAAATATTATCCCAAGCCCAGCCATCCAGTTAACCACAAAGCAACATTTGCCCATCTCAAACCCTTTGGCTGCTCTTGTTGTGTATCTACCCGAAATAGCTTCATAAATGTGCATGACGAAGTTGATTTAGGTCATAGGACTTATTTACCCAAGAATTTGCCTCTAGTGATTGAACCTTCCCTCCTTTGGAAGCTGCAAACAGTCTTTATTTCCTGGCCTTGCCTTTGGAACACAGCCTGTCAATGAGTAGAAAGTGAGCGTATGTGTCTATTGGGGGGATTTGGTAGGAAGGCTTGTAAAAACATTTCCCCAAGTATAGAAATACCAACATTCTTCCACACAATATCCCAGCTGTGATATTTATTAAGCGTTGAGTTTGAAAGCACTCAGTTTGCTGACTGATAGATGCCTGTTTGGAGAACAGAGAATCCCCGCCAAGCACAATCTGCCGCCCAGTTTTCAGGGAATACAGATGACAAGAGTGTCTGGACCTTGAAAGCTCTGATGACCCAGAGGATTTGTTTACAGTTCAATTATTTTGCAGGTAAAACAGGGGACAGATGAATCACACTAGATCCAGCAGCAGGATGAACGTAGGCATTGGCCCAAACCACCATCTTCCCTTGCATGAATCCCTGGGAACACAAAGGTAAGAGTCCAAAAATCTGTGCAGTGAGCCACATGTCCTGTATTGCCAGATAAGGCAGGTGAGAGCCATTAGAAGAAGTGCATCTGTTAGTATAATTATTAGGGCAGCCTCCTTACCAAGAGAGGTTGACATCCAATGGGGGGAAATTCTGAGAGGGGACAGAAAGATAAGGGAAATAAAGCTGAAGAAGAACTGGAAGTTAAAACTGCAAAATTAAAGGTGATGCTGGCAAGACACTAAGGAGATCCTGTTTTAGCCAAGGACAGCATACATCCTTCTTCGCTTTCTGTCTGCTCCAGATCCAGAGGAGGATAATAGTAGTGGAGAAGTCAAGACATAAAAGAAGCGACACCTGAAAAGCACTGAAAGGAAACAAAACAGGACAAAAAGCACTTTCTTACGGAAAAGATACCATCCTCTTTGTGACGGGTTTTCCTCACTGAAGTGACAGCAATGTAATTGTCTTTTTTTACAGATGACACTAACTGCACTCTGAAAACTTGGAAGGAAGGCACAAAGGGGTATTGATTGTGGTATCCCAACACAAAGCGTAACATTTACAAATGGTAGGTGCTTAATACATGTTTGTTGAGTGAATGGACATACTGAAAACGTCTCTGTTTAAGTGGAAGAGTAGGACCAGGCCAGAAGATGAGATAAGAATCTAATGTAATAACACCCACATTTCTAAACATGTGTCTCTTTGTTCCTTATTTATTGCTTCCTTCCTTCTTCCCTCCATTACTTATTTCCTTCCTGTCCCTTTGTTTGCCTTACTTCTTTCTGCTCTCCCATTCATTTCGTTCCTTCCTTTGTTGCCCCCCTTCCTTTGTCTCCCCACTCTTCCGAAATTGAAAGACCCAAGGTTGAAAGGGGCTAGATGACATTTCTAAGTTCCTCTATTAAGGTGAAGGCAGAGCTGGGACAAAGGCAACTTCTTTTGTCACCCAAACCAGGTCTCTTTTTGCTACATTATACACACTGCCCCCAGTTGAGATTTATGTCCAGGTGAAGAGAAGCTAGCTGTCACAATGGCACCAAAAGAAGCTCCTAATTGCACTCTATGCATTGCTCTGAAATTATTACATTCAAAGCAATTAGTGGCACTTCACACTCTTCCGTATCTCAGGAAGAAGAAATGCTTGGCCGTAATGGCCATTAAAGGACAGACGAGTGATAGGAAGCAACTTTTGTTAGTAAGTATGTGTCAAAAAGTACAATATGCACGGGTTATCAACACAGTAACTGTTCTTTCTCTAAAACCGACTGCTGTGAATTTCAGTTACAGTATTGGGCTTTGTCATACTTCAGCTGTATCCTCACAACAGCCACATTAATTGAAAATATGAAAAATCTGTCAGTTCATATTGGTGTCTGTGTACAATTCCATAAATGCGCATGTGGGTTCTCCAGTTGAATCAGTCTGTTACTTTGGTATCACGTAGACCTGGCCACAATTATAATTTTATTTTTTGTATTGGCCAGCGAATATTTTGGGAGGAACAAAACCCGAATACCCTTAGGACTTTGTCAGCCTCTCAGGGCCTGGAAACTGTAAAGGAGTGCAGAGAGCATTAAGAGTCAGGAAAAAGAACTAATAAAACTTAGCTAAACCTTAACAGCAGACCATTCCGGAATAGTAAGAGATTCAATGTCTAAACTTAGAGAGAGACCAGACCAAAGGAAGAGAGAGCGAGAGGCCAGCCAAGGGCTATTTGAATCCTAGTTTACTAAATCCCCATGGTTTACAACCCTGATATCCACCCTGGCAGGGCCCTTGCTTATTTTTATACTGCTTCTCACTTTAGGTCCCTGTATCTTAAACCGGCTAATAGCCTTTGTTAGGGAAAGAGTGAGTGCTGTTCAGGTGCTAATGCTGAGACCGCAGTATCATTCACTCACACAGCAGGAAGAAACAAACATTCCATGATTGGAATGGTCAAAGGAAAGTGGGGAAATGTAGAATCTAAGCATTAGTAAGATTAGTAAATTAGCATAAGCATAGCCATCTTAGAAACCTAGAAACCATTTTCTGAGAGTGTGACTCAGAGAAAAAAACAAAAAACAAAAAAAAACCCTGGGCCTGGGTAAGGCCTTGAAAAACAAGTTAATCATGAGCACCGGGTGGTGGGCAGCTGTGACCCTTGGTCAGCTAACCTTGGTCAGTTAATCTTACATACCAAGCTTATCGTGCAGAACCTCCCTAACCATTGAGGAGTAGTCTTACCCTGCCCTTGCTTAACCCCAGGATATATGTCTTGCAAGAATAATGTATAGTTATAGAAAATTGCTATGAGTTAAGTGCTTTGATATTGCTATATAAACCCTTGGCTCTGAGTGCTCAGGGTCCTTGTTGAGACCCGCTGCATCGGGCTGACTTGGACCCCAGCTAGCTGGCTGAATAAAGACTTTGCTTGAATTTACATCTCTATGCCTGTGTAGTTTGTTCTCTGGGGAAGCCTCGGAAGCCTGGACCCTAACAGAAACAAGTTAGTTAGCCATAGTCCCACCCAATAACATAAAAACTAATAATAAATACCCTGAGAGTATTTCACAGAGGTTTATGCGGGTCGGTTAAATGACAATCAATGCATAGAGGAAGTTTCCAAGGACAGGACAAAGCATTAGTCATTTTATTTTTCAAGTGTAGTGAAAAGGTAATATTTGCTGAGGAAATAGGAAGTACTGTGAGGACCTGACCAACTTTATTTTCCGCCACGCACATTCTTACTTTTCCCCAGAGCTAATGAGCCCTGATTCTGGGAACAGTGAATAATCACATCTGAGGCTCTTCTCAAATTTTGCTCTACTGTTGACTTTTTTGCCTGCATTTGTACCTTCCATTTAAATGTACTTTCTCATATATGTTTCACTTATTAGAAACTGTACTTTAGGAAACCTGTTTTAATTTTTTATTTTTTTACCCTCAGTGACGATTATTAGTAGATGCAATTTCATTTAAGGAATTGGAAGGGGAGAAGCTGTAGGCAGGAATGATAATTTGGAAGCTACTGCTTATGACTCAGTTAAGTTCTTGATGAGTGATAATCAAGAAAGCCATAAGGCATAAATAAGGAACATGGTACTGTTTTGTAAAATTCTGACCCAGAGTTATCTTTCAGTTTTTATTGGCTTTTCTAAAACATGATGAGTATTAATGATAAATTGGTATTTCAATAAAACATGATAAATTAGTATTTTCTAAGAACTGGAATTTTAGAACAAAGGTTATATCTAATGATAATGTCTAGCCACTGTACCTCATTTTTCTTTTCCATATTGACAGGAAGTGCTGAGATTGCAAAAACAACAAAAAAATATAGAGTAGAATAAGTCTAATAGAAAATGTGTAGTTGAAGACAATTTGTTGACATAATCTGCCTTAGAAATTCTTTACTACTTGTAATGAAGAGAACATAGCAAAGTTGAATCTTGAATATTGGAGATAAAATTCCAAGTCATTGTGCATCATGGGAAAGTTGACTGAGATGTGAGGTGGAGAGGACAGGGGTGGATGGAACCAGCTTGTGGGGCTTTTGCTGGTTTTGGGGGGTCTATCTTGAAGTTGTACTGGGGGGAGCTAATATGTCATAAACCTCTTCAACTGATTGGGCTTGGAAAATTACCCCTGAGCATGTATGGAGGTTTCCTAATGCACATCCAGGATTCCTTCAGATGCAGAACTACAATCCCATGTAGAAACTAGTAGAAATCCATTTCTCTTTGATTTAAATCACCTTTAAGGTAAATATTCTTCCTTTCCCAAAGTCTAAGAACTCCTGAAAATATTTTGTATGTATTGTATTGTTTTATTTAATGCTTTATTACCTGTGACTTTGGTGTCCTACGATATTAAGCAAAAAAATTCATGTTAACTCACTAAACTACTTCCTGGCTTTTGATTTTTTGTTTGTTTTTGGCTTTTATTGAATCCTACAATTTTAACTACTAAAGGCTCTGAAGCAACTTGTTAAACCAAGAGGCCATGGGTTTAGATTGCCTTGTTGCAAATCCCACTCCTGCTTTTGACTAGAAAGGCAATCTTAGGCAAACTTGATGAATTCTTTCAGTTTTATTTGGTGACTTGTGGGAGAGAAGTGTTATTTGGACTCCTTATTGACACAGTTGTGAGATTTTCATTAGATACCATAGCTCATAGTAAGCATGGTGTCGAGCTCATAGCACCGTTCAAGAATGATTAGCTATTATAATAACTACAGAATATAAAATGTATTTCTCTTCTCCCAGTGACTTGACCCTTACCATAAAACATGAATGGAGACTGAGGAGTGATGTGAGCAAGATGGCACAATAGGAACCCTCAGACCCCATTCCCTACAGAGACACCAACTTAACAATATATGGTCCAGAAAGACTGTTTAAGACTCAGTATCCCAGGAGAGGACAAAGCCAAGAACAACCACACTGAAAGGAGTTAAAAAAAAAAAAAATGCTGTTGCATTTCACCTGCAATAGCCCTTCCCCCAAGCCACTCTGGAAGCAGCCCAACCCACCACCTTAAAAAGCATCTCCAGCTAAAAACAGAAGAAGATGTTGCTGGTGGGAAGCCAGTTACGGGAGGCGACTGACCGGGAAAAGCACAGTGAACAAAGGTGTGGTTGTTAGGCACATTTAAGTCATTGCCTTCTGCATTGATACAAGCTTCCAGAGCTGTAGTCCACGTGCAGTTTCTGGTACAGAGAGGGAGACACTCTTACAAATGGAGATTTCCCTTCTAAATGTAATTTATCTTATAAAAGGGTAACTCTGACTCAGTTTTCAGAGCTTCTCCTGTGTGTGCTGTTTATTAAAAATAATCAGCCCCTAAAATCCTTATGCCAAAGAGGCATATTTTGGGCTGACATGTTTTGTCCCTCTTCAGTATAAACCAGTTTTAAAACCAGGAAAGGTATAATAAAATATACCTCCAAAGTTAGTAAAGGCAAAAATACATTATAGAAAACAAAAAGTAAACCAAACCATGAATTGGGTGTGCTTATTCTAACGTTAGCTTTCCTATTTGGATGTTTTTATCTTTTTACCAGTTGCCTCCCTTCTCTCTTTGAAACCTGTCCTGTAGATTTCCTTTATCTTGTGTGAAATCTTGCTCTGAGAGTAGAGGATGTAAGTCTCACCTCCTATGCAAAGTGAATTTCCCAGTGCCATTTAGAAGTTATTCTTTTGCTGGGGTTATTAGTGTATTTAGCATATCACTTTACCCTGAATATTCAACTCACTGAAGCAAGAAGAGGCAGTGGGCAGTATTTGAGGCCACTTTTTATTTTTTATGTTTTTATTTTTGAGTTTCTATGTGTCGCTCCAGGAGGAGTGGGTTCCCTGCTCTGCACAAGTTCACTCTTGTGGGTAAAATTGCAGTATTTCCAGAATCTCTCGCCTGGCCTTTGTGCATCTCCGTACCAATAGGTGTTTACAAGGGGTGGAAAAAAGTAACCATCTCCATATCAATAGGTGATTAAAAGGGTGGGGGAGCAAGGGTATATCTGGACCAGAGAGGTTTGGTGGGGTCCGTTTGTATGGTGGGGTTGCAAAAGACACAGGCAAGCAGAAGTGGATGACTGCTTGTAAGCAATAAATGAGTTTCTCCCACTTTATTTCTCCCTTTGACTGATTTCAGCTTCAGAGGTAATTTGCCCCAGGCTGGGGACTTATTTTCCTCTGAGAGTTACAGCTATGTATTCAGGAAGAGCAAATGTAAGTCTGGGGAGAGGAAATCCCGGGGAAAAATACCTCTAAAAACAGAAATCTCTCAAAGCGAGAAATAAAGTTTAAAATCCGTTTATTGCTCACAAACTGCAGTCCGGGGCTGTCACTCTTTCCTGCTCCAGGAGAAGCAAAACCGGGCCTCCCCACAGCTCTCAGGTACAGATAAGCCCTTCTTGCCCGGGTAATTACCCAGTGATATGGAGATGAACTTCTCTCCACCCCTGAGGAGTGATGCAAATGCACTAAAGCCATACTTCTTTCCACCTCTGAACACCTATTGATATGCAGATGTACCAAAGGCAGGTGAGACAGTCTGGAAATGTTACAATTTTACCCACACCAAATAACAACAATGGGACATTGGGGTAAAAAGGGATTCATACCAAGCTTTATTCTCACAGCTATGCACAAGCAGCAGGCCCGCTTCTGTCTCTGGCCCAGCTACAGCCTCTGCTCCCCAGGCGCTACCTCCGCTGGTGGCTCTGCCCTCCTTTCCTCCTGCTTCCCAGCACCAGGATCTCTTCTCCCTTCTTAGAAGCAGGGCTCCAGGTCTTCTCTCCCCTACTTCCTAACATGGGGCAGAACTCTGTGGGCAAGTCTCTCTGGTAACTGGCAGATGCTATGCCCAATTACATCCAGGGGCTTGTGTTTTCTCTCCACCCTTCCCACTCCCCCCACCCCTCCCCTTTACTTCTGTGACTTGACAGTTTGCCCTGGGCAGCTCTATCAGCCAGTAAACAGCTCACTGCCAATGGGCATGGAAGTAGGCTAAGTATGTATACAATGGGTGATATTAGAGTCAGGCAGAATCCTGGCCATAAAATTTCCATTTTCCTTACAATATGCCACGTCAAGCACTGTATTAAAGAAACAACAAAGACAAAAACAAAAGATCACACAGTCCACAGTTTTCTTAGGGACTCTCTCTACTAGAAACTCAACTTGAACAAATGTAGGCCCAAAGAGGACTCTACCAACTCCACCAACTGAAGGAAAAGGGGGATGTGGTATAGCCAGGCCTCAGAGACAGTGGGAAGAGTGGCATGCTCTTCGCCAGGCTCCATTTCTCTGGGGTGGTGATGCCGGGGCTCTTGTTCATGAAGCCGAAGAATGAGCTTCACAAACACTCAAGGTAGGAGAGCAAGGTACAGGCTTTTATTTAGAGATAAAGTGAGAGAATAGAGCTCCTGGCTCATGCCAGGAGGGGACAAGAGAGCCCGTAGTGGTGCGTTGCCTAGGGGGTTTTATAGGCAGCTGAGGATTTCTGGAGAACATCAAAATAAGGCTTAGGGGTGTGGACTTGTACCACCTGCCCTGCCCTCAAGGTGGGCTGGGTCATAGTCTGATTGCTGGGGCTGACATTGGAGTCAAGGGTTATGCTGATACCCTTGAGGAACCCTCAAACATTCCAGGCCAAGTTGCTCCTGGCCTTTTGACCTGTAACTGATCTCACTGAAGATGTCTTTATCTTTACCCTAGAGAATTAGTGTGACCTTGACTTTGCAAAATGCTTAGCACAGAGTTTCAGTAGGGACTTCTTTGCCCTTTGTGACATTGCTCTGACTGTAAATATTCCCCCCTGCTTTTCCAGGAGGCCCTCACCCTACTCTGACTACACCCATGATCCCTGTCTCGGTGGTCTCCCTTCATCTTCTGTAAGCCAGCTTTATCCACATGTTTTCTAGGCTGGCTCCAGTAGCCCTACCTTCCCCCCTTTTTTTTGCATGGTTACTTATTTTTCATTCTCTTCTCTCTTTTCTTTCTCTCCCTTATTTAATTGAAATAGTTGATATCCAATATTGTGTTGGTTTCAGGTGTACAACGTAGTGATTTAACAGTTATATACATCACTAAACAGTCACTAGGATAAGTGTAGTTGCTGTCAACATACAACAGATACAATATTACTGACTATATTTTGTATACTGTACTTTCATCTCTGTGACTACTTTATAATTGGATGTTTGTACCTCTTTATCCCCTTCATCTGTTGTATCCATCCCACATCTCCCTCTCCTATGGTAACCACCAGTCTGTTCTCTGTGTTTACCAGTCTATTTCTATTTTGCTTGTTTTGTTCTTTTAGATTGCACATAGAGATGATATCATATGTTTTTGTCTTTCTGTGTCTGACTTATTTCACTTAGCATAAGATTCTCTAAGTCTATCCATGTTGTTGCAAATGGTAAGAGCTCATTCCTTTTTATGGCTGAGTAATATTCCACCGTATATATGTATCACTTCACCTTTATCCATTCATCTATTGATGAACACTTAGGTTGCTTTCATATCTTGGCTACTGTAAAGAATGCTGCAATGAACATAGGAATGTATACATCTTTTCAAATTAGTGATTTTCTTTACTTCAGGTAAATCCCCAGAAATGGAATTACTGGATCACATGGTGTTTCTATTTATTTTTAGTTTTTTGGGAAACCTCCGTAGTGTTTTCCACAGTGGCTGCACCAATTTACATTCCCACCAACAGTGTAGGAGGGTCCCCCTTCCTCCACATCCTCACCAACACTTAATATTTCTTGTCTCACTGATTTTAGCCATTCAGGCTGGTGTGAGGTGATCTCTCATTGTGCTTTTGATTTGCATTTCCCTGGAGATTAGTGACGTTGTGCATCTTTTCATGTGCCCGTTTGATCAACTGTATGTCTTCCTTGGAATAAGGCCGATTCAGGTCCTCTGCCCATTTTCTAATCAGATTATTTTATTATTTTTGGTGTTAAGTTGCATGGGTTCTTTATATATTTTTTCGATGGTAACCTACCTTGTTGGCTATATCATTTGCAAATGTCTTCTCTCATTCAGTAGCTGACTTTTTTTTCATTTCTGTTGGTGGTTTCCTTTGCTTGGCCTCAGCAGCTCTTGCCCTCACAACTTTACCACTAGTGAAGGACTGACCAGAGCTAAAGTCCCAGAACACATTGTACAACTGTGATTGGCAGCCTCCACGAGATTCCATTTTTTGCAGTGAAAGTGCAAATGACTGAGCTGTGTGTGGTGTGTGCTTTCAATGTTAATAAGTATTTTGTTGAATCAAAATAGATTTGGAAGAAAGTCCTCTCCCCCCAGGCCTATATCAGTTGAGTAAGATAAAATGGTGTGGATGGATTCAAATATTATTCCATGGGGCATTTCCCAAATTTATTTTTCACCCATCTATTACTCCCTTTGAAAGAGAAAGTTTAAAACAGCTTTGTTTGGAGTAAATACCTAGTTTTCTGACTGGATATGATCATTTTTCTTTGAATGACTATTCATCTGTAAGTCCTTGGTTTAAAATTACTGCTTGGATCCTGTAGTTTTGTCCTCCTCCTCTCCTCCTCCCAATATACAGCTAAATACTGCTTGTTATATTTTATGTCTACGTATCTATTCAAGTCAATTTTGTTAACTTATTTCTCCATAGGAAGGAGAAAGCCATGCCCCATCTGGCTCATGGAAGGATTTTATCTCATTTTACAGAATGTGCTAGGCAGCATTTATTTTAGTTTCCCTTCATATGATGGATTGCAGATACCTCTCTTCTTATGTAATGTCAGTTTGTCGCTAAAGTATAAAATGTGAAGATTTGCAGGTGTCTTTCCAAAATAAATATTTTCCATTCATCCTAAGGCAATTAAAAAGATCACTGGGAAACGTAGAATGAGGGAGAAATCTTTATGGTGGGAAAAAAACCCAGAAATACCCTTTGGTTTATCTGACCAAAGGGGACGGTCCGAAATGGTGAGCAGCATAGTATGCTGAGGGATTTGTTACAACATTATGCACTAAAAAGTGAACCTCGTCCCCCATGACAGGTGTTTAAACCAGGTCATAAAGGGCCAATTTGGACACGAGAGACTGATTTCTGCGTCACAGAAACATCCTCAAAGAGTTTGTGCTGAGGAAACTACCCCATACAGGCTGATCTGCAAATGCACGATGATTTCCAGTCCCCGCTCGAGGTATAATCTCCTGCAGCCAAGGAATCCCTTTCCCCCTGGGAATCACAAGCGGCTTTAACAGTGACGTTCTGTTACTTTGCCCTTGATTTGCTAAAGGTGGTTGTGAAACGATGAATCATCTGTGAGCACCGTGAGGCTACGAAACTCAAGACTTTAGTGCCTGGTTTACTGAGCACTACACGCCGGGTACAGCAGCCCTGATGGCAGCAAGGGTCCAAGGGTCGTTCCAGGGAAACAGAGAAAGCCTGTTTCCTTCTCAGTCTTGTAGATGGAACTCTACCTTCAGCTGCCAACTGCCGGGCTGCTACACTACCTGGTTAGGGTGGGAAGTGCTTCTTCATAAGAATTAACTGATGAATAAATAAGTCATAAGGACATCCCTGCCAAAACCTACCAACACATATGCCCAGCAGGTAAGGCTCCCCATTGCTTTTCCTACAAAGGCATTTGGTATGTCCTCTGTTCCTGGAAATAAAACTAGATGTGGGCCACCAACTCGGGCAACTTATGCATTTACTTGTGCAATCAAGCAACCTTTTTTTTTTTTTTAATTCTGAAAAGGGTGTAGAAGTTTAGTGCACTATCCCAAGCCAATTCATTAGTTCCCTGTTAGCTTCTTTCTTCTTGTACTTTCTGTCCCTTCATTCCAAGAGCACTTTGAAGGTTTTCCTTACTCTTCACCCTTAGCCTCTCATTCTTCAGCATCACTGGATCACACATTCGTTTAGTACATATTAAACACCAGTTACGGAGCAGCCCTGACTTTCAAGATGCTCAGCATAGCATTAGGGCCAAGGGCAGTCTGTCCTAAATAGAGCACTTGGGCATATTTATTATTTTGAATTAAAAGTTACTTAAGAAACAGCCAGTGCAGGAGCAGCAGTCTGACCCACCTCTGTCTCCGGAAAGCAGGAAATAAGTCTCCCATATGAAAGGTACCCTCCCTGTACCAAGAGGTAGGGAGACATCCTTATCACCACAGATCAGGGATTCTGAGCCAAGAAGCCTGAAAAAGCAAACTTTGTTCCTTTTTACTAATTTATGACTTTAGCCCAAATTCTGTTTAGAATTCCTTAAGCTCCCAAACATAAGTTTCCTTTGTCCTGTCATTTCCTCACAGATTTTTTTCTCTTTGTTCAAACAGTGTAAAAATTACCTGCCTTGGTAATTTCTTGAGGTCTCAATATCATGATTTTGCCTCTGTGCACATGTAATTGAACTTTGTTTTTTCCTCCTGTTAATTTGTCTTATATCGATTTAATTCTTAAATCGGCTAGAAGAACCTTGAAGGGAAGATCTGTTTCCTTCTCAGTCTTGTAGATGGAACTCTACCTTCAGCTGCCAACTGCCGGGCTGCTACACTACCTGGTTAGGGTGGGAAGTGCTTCTTCATAAGAATTAACTGATGAATAAATAAGTCATAAGGACATCCCTGCCAAAACCTACCAACACATATGCCCAGCAGGTAAGGCTCCCCATTGCTTTTCCTACAAAGGCATTTGGTATGTCCTCTGTTCCTGGAAATAAAACTAGATGTGGGCCACCAACTCGGGCAACTTATGCATTTACTTGTGCAATCAAGCAACCTTTTTTTTTTTTTTAATTCTGAAAAGGGTGTAGAAGTTTAGTGCACTATCCCAAGCCAATTCATTAGTTCCCTGTTAGCTTCTTTCTTCTTGTACTTTCTGTCCCTTCATTCCAAGAGCACTTTGAAGGTTTTCCTTACTCTTCACCCTTAGCCTCTCATTCTTCAGCATCACTGGATCACACATTCGTTTAGTACATATTAAACACCAGTTACGGAGCAGCCCTGACTTTCAAGATGCTCAGCATAGCATTAGGGCCAAGGGCAGTCTGTCCTAAATAGAGCACTTGGGCATATTTATTATTTTGAATTAAAAGTTACTTAAGAAACAGCCAGTGCAGGAGCAGCAGTCTGACCCACCTCTGTCTCCGGAAAGCAGGAAATAAGTCTCCCATATGAAAGGTACCCTCCCTGTACCAAGAGGTAGGGAGACATCCTTATCACCACAGATCAGGGATTCTGAGCCAAGAAGCCTGAAAAAGCAAACTTTGTTCCTTTTTACTAATTTATGACTTTAGCCCAAATTCTGTTTAGAATTCCTTAAGCTCCCAAACATAAGTTTCCTTTGTCCTGTCATTTCCTCACAGATTTTTTTCTCTTTGTTCAAACAGTGTAAAAATTACCTGCCTTGGTAATTTCTTGAGGTCTCAATATCATGATTTTGCCTCTGTGCACATGTAATTGAACTTTGTTTTTTCCTCCTGTTAATTTGTCTTATATCGATTTAATTCTTAAATCGGCTAGAAGAACCTTGAAGGGAAGAGGAAAATGTTTCCTCTGCAACAGTAGAGAAGAGGACACGGGGAAGAGAATCAGCCATTGCCCTGCTGTACGAGGAGACTAGAACAAAGCATCTCCTGCGTCAGCCTGAGGATGGTGAGGACGCCTCACGTGAGCAGATTCTTGAGGGACAGGCAAGGACTAGGCACAAAGATCAGCATACAGGGAGAGGAGGAAAAAAAATTCCAGCAGGTGGCATTGCAGGGCCAAAGCCTCAGAGGTTTGAGAGACCTCAGCACAGTGAAAAAAGGTAAGACAGTGGGTCTGAAATAAGCGGGGTGTGTGTTCGTGTACGCATGTGCATGCTCACACACATGCAGTGATGGTGGTGGTGATGGTGATAATACAGTGGAAAGTCTGTGACCTTATCAGCCGCCTGCCTCAATACAGCTTTCAATGTTTTCAGGGATGGGGATAAGCCCACTGCACACAAGGCACATGAAAACATTTCCATTCTCCCATGAATATGGGCATCAACCTGGGAAAAAAACCAGAACCAAGCATGCGATTGCCTTTATGCAGGCATAAATCCAGAGAGAGATGGAAGATGCTGAGGACTGAGGTGGAGGGGCAATTTCTAAGCCCTTCCTGTGCTGGATTTCTGCAGTGTGACTTCTTATTACCATTATTACTGTACCTTTGTTGAGGTGCTGCATGTTTACACTGCTTCTAATAACCTCCAATGTTCAACTAAAAATCCAAATATAGATGGACACCAATTTATAAATGCACTGTGACCCACATCCCCTTTCTCAGTGAGCTGTTTTACTCACAGTGCGCTTGCCCATAGAAGCAGTGTCACAAAGGCAGCAAGCCCTTCACTTCAGCTTATACACTGCACACGTAAAGCCTCCCTCGTTCTACCGAAAAGTCCCGTGGGTTTTAACCAATGAGTAGTGTGATGCACCCAGCGTTACATTGCACAAAATCGTTTCACTGCCCCCTCAAATCCCCTTTGCTTCACATATTGACTCCTCACCTGCACTCTGAACATCTGGGAATCCCTGATAATATTTATTATTTCTGTAGTTTTACCTTTTCCAGAACATTACATAGATGGAAAGATTCAGGATATCTCCTCAACCCCCTTCAGCCCCCACCCCATTTTCCCTATTTTTAATATCTTGAATTAGTATGGTACGCTTGTTACAACTGATGAACCAGTATGGTTACATTATTTTTAACTGAAGTCCATAGTTTACTTTAGGGCTCATTCTTTGGGTTTTATATTCTGTGGGTTTTGAAGTATGTATAATGACATGTATCCATCATTACAGTATCATACAGAATAATGATTTCACTGCTCTAAACATCTCCTGTGCTCCACCCATTATCCTACCCCCTCTATCTGAGAAACCCTGACAACCACTGATGTTTTTACTTTCTTCACAGCTTTGCCATTCCAGAATGGCACGTGTTGGAATAATACCTTACATAGCCTTTTCAGATTGGCTACTCTCATTTACCAATATGCACTTAAATTTCCTCTATGTCTTTTGGTGGCTTGATAGGTCATTTGTGTTTTATCACTGAATAATATTCCACTGCATGGATGTACCACTTTGCTCTTCCATTCTCCTATTGAAGTGCATCTTGGTTGCTTCCAACTTTGGGCAGTTTTGAATAAAGCTGCTATAAACCAATTTTTGTGGGAAATAAGATTTCAAGTCAATTGGGAAAATACCAAAAATATGATTGTTGGATCTTAGGCTTAAACCTTGTTTCTATAAGAAGCTGCCAAACTGTCTGCCAAAATGTCTATACCATTGTGCATTCCTATCAGTAATGAATGAAGGTTCCTATTGCTCCACATCTTCACCACTACTTGATCTTGTCAGTATTTTGGATTTTAGCCATTCTGATATTTGTAGAGTGTTTTATTTAGCAATTTCAGAATGACATAATTTTTTAAATTTTGGTATCATTAATCTACAATTACAGAAAGAACATTATGTTTACTAGCTTCCCCCTTCACCAAGTCCCCCCCACATACCCCTTCACAGTCACTGTCCATCTGCGTAGTAAGATGCTGTAAAATCACTACTTGTCTTCTCTGTGTTGCGCAGCCCTCCCCGTGCCCCCCACGCACTATACATGCTAATCGTAATGCCCTCTTTCTTTTTCCCCACCCTTATCCCTCCCTTCCCACCCATCGTCCCCAGTCCCTTTCCCTTTGGTAACTGTTAGTCCATTCTTGGTTTCTGTGATTCTGCTGTTGTTTTGTTCCTTCAGTTTTCCTTTGTTCTTATACTCCACATATGAGTGAAATCATTTGGTACTTGTCCTTCTCCGCTTGGCGTATTTCACTGAGCATAATGCCCTCTAGCTCCATCCACGTTGTTGCGAATGGTAGGATCTCTTTTTTTCTTATGGATGCGTAATATCCCCCGAATCACATAATTTTGAGGTTACTTTCATATGCTTTCTTCTAATCTGTATGCCTCTTTTGGATGAGACATTTACTGCAAACTTTTGCCTATCTTTTAGATACGGTCATGGTTGAGTTTTAAGAGTTCCTTGCATATTTTAGATTTTATCATATGTCCTTTATCTTATAAATGTTTTGTGAAGATTTTCTCTAAGTGTGTGGCTTTTCTTTTCATCTACTGATAGTGTCTTTCACAGACACATTTTACTTTTCAATGAAATCCAATTTATCAAATTTTTTCTTTCATGGATTATGTTTTTGGTGTTGTATTGAGAAGGTCATTGCCAATCCCAAGGAAACTGAAACTTTCTCCTATGTTATTTTCAAAGAATTTTATAATTTTGCATTTTATATTTAGGTCTTTGATCCATTTTGAATAAACTTTT